GCTTAACCGTTAACGTTACTTGGTCGGTAACTCCGGCAATTGTATCCCATAATCATCATTTTATTTCTCGATTCTGATCGAGTGTGGCCAGAACAATTTTGCTAAGCTCGACTTTAAATTTGCCCGAACGCCGCTCATTATCTTCGACAATTAACGACGATATCAATACCGTTTATGAACGATTTAAATGTCTCTGCACGCACCGTCCGGGCCCATCAGCCGGCTGCGGCGGCCGACCCGGCTAATCCCCAGGAATGTGTGTGACGGAGGGGGTGTCCCGCGGGAGGGGTTACCTGGCGGCTGGTCAGACGGTGACGCCGGCGGTGGGGGGGGGCCGGCGCCGGTCGGAAGAAGCGGCCATCTTGGGTACCGATGCCCGGGCCGCCGGTCCTGCGGCGGCTAGAGCAATTAACGCGTGCCACTGGCCGTCCAGCGCGGGTTCACAGGGAAACTGGGATGGGGCGCTAGGTCCGACGGCAGCACACGATCACTCGACGCGGTGGTAGAGCACCGACTGAAGACGGATCATGGATGCGACGCGTGTAAGAATGTGATCTATCGACATTCCACCTTTCCTATCAGTCTTCTCCGAGTGATCGTTAATGCAGTCTCTGAGTGTCGGCCAGTCGCTCTGTCGGCTTGTCGGCCTGTCAGTCCGTCGGTTTGCCGTTCACGGTCTGATGGTCTGTCACGGTTTGATGGTACGTCGGTCTGTCAGTAGGGCTGTCTGTCTGTCTGTCTGTCTGGTCTGTATGTCTTTCTCTCTTCTCTCTCTTCCCTCTCTCTCTCCCTTCTCCCTCTCTCCCTCTCACTTTCTTTTTCTCTCTCTCTCTCTCTCTCTCTCTCTCTCTCTCTCTCTCTCTCTCTCTCTCTCTCTCTCTCTCTCACTTTCTCTCTCTTTCTCTCTCTCTCTCTCTCTCTCTCTCTCTCTCTCTCTCTCTCTCTCTCTCTCTCTCTCTCTCTCTCTCTCTCTCTCTCTCTCTCTCTCTCTCTCCCTCTCTCGCACTCATAGCTACCAGCACGCGTTTCATGTCGTCAGTCGGTAATCCGCGATTGCGTCGTGGGGTCTGCTGCGTGCATGACGTTACGGAGGAGGTGCTGTCTCGGGACCCGTGGGGAAATGAACCCCAACCCGCAGGCGCGGCGACGCCCGGGCCGGACGGGCTCGGCCGTGCTAATGATCAGGGGATCGGCGGGTGACCCTCGCTGCTCGCACCGCGCTGGGGTGCGGGATGACAATGGCTGAGCCGAACCCGCAGTCAGAGGTGACCTGCGGCCCACTGAGAGCGGCTTATCACTACACGGACCGTCGAGTCATTAACAATTATACCCGGATTGACATAAACATTACCGATGATTGAACTAGGGTCAGGCATCGATTACAACTTCCAACTGTTTGAGCCGGACAATTTTTTTTTTCTCTTACAAATGGGGTGAGGTAATGCTTTGTCAGAGTTATATGGTTTGTCGAAATTAGAACACGGTCTTTTATCGCACTACAAATTCTTATCGGTAAAACTCGAGGAAAGGAGTCAAGATAAATCGTATCTAATTAAGAGGTACTATATTAGGGAATAATTCGGGACTGCGAGGCCAGTCTATGCGTGTCGTACCCCCGTGTACGTTATGTTCACCGACACGGTTGTCTACACTTACGGATGATGGGAAACAGGGACGGTTTTATTGTCTGGGTTGAACGATTGAATATGCAATTATGATTGATCGGATAGCATTCGGGCCTAAGCTCACTTTAAACGTGCGAGTAGGATTATTGGTTAAAGCATCAGTGGCAGGGGGTTTAACGTTGGCGATTTAGAGGTGCTTAATTTTAGCGATTGGTTTGTTCCGGAACGGTAGGTTAAAACGGCTGGGTTACAGGGGGAATACTGCTTTTCTGAATAGGTTTGGTCGGAGAAGGATCTGGTGATTGGATCTGGTGATCTGGAAACTGGCCTGATGCGGTAAAAAAAGTGGCAAGGGAAATAAGTAGGTATGGAGATCGGTTCAGGGGAACCAGGTCATTGTAGGGTTACTGGGAGCGGGCTCCAGTTGAAGTAGGCGCTAGGGCTATGTTGATAGGTGGTTTGTAGATCAAAGGATCGTTAGGCGATGAAGATGCTACGAAATTCGGGATTGGGTAGGTTTTGCTTTAGGTTCTCTATAAAAGTTGATAAATCGACGGCTCAACAATGGTGATCGCGGGCGACGCGCGCAGCATGTTTTGCTCTTGCATGGTCGTTCTCGTTCGATGTCTCGGGTGGTTTCTACGGCGTAAGACGGGCAAAATAAATAGCCGTGTCGCGGTCACGGCTAAGGCTCAAGGGAGAGGGGAAGAGAGTTGGACTCTACAAAGCAGGGAAAATCCGGCCTGGCATTAGATTCTCCCTTGATGTTAGGTTTTAGGCCTCCGCTGTCGTTTTTACTAGCTTAAGTCGGAGACGGGATAGATTAGACAAGTCAGATCATGCCTGCGATCGTCAAACTTATGTCGCCACTGAACGAGACGTTGGTGAAGTTGTAAGGATAGATTAGGATCAGTGCTGGTATTTAGGAATTATTTGGGAAGGGGAGATTATGACCATTTTTTTTTATTTTGGGAGCAGACTGCTCATGTGTCCTAGCTTGGCGGCAGGGTGATCCGTAGCCTAATACACCTGTTACGTTTTACATGGGCAGGGAAATGACACCTAATAAGCTTGCATTAACTTGTCACTGTGCACCACTGGGGGAGAGTTAGGTAAAGAGGGAGGGAGCGGACTGGCGTTTTTCGTGTGTGTGAGATGTGTGTTTGAGTGCATGATTATGCTACGTTAGGTTATGTTTTTAGGTTAGGTAGGTTAGGTTAGGCTAGGTTAGAGTGAGTCGAAGTGTGAATGTGGTATATCCAGTGGGAGGTACCCCTCCGTGCAGTGGCCGGGATGTGACTGTGATGTGAAGTGTCGTTTCTTCGGTTTCAAGTAAACGTATTTAAAGGGGGGTCCCAACCGGGTTGAGAGAGAGCCTCGGGCAGTCAACCTGATTAAATTATCCTCTTTGAATGCCCATAACCCAATGACCCATCACCGTACAGTGTAGCAGCCTATATGCCCCAGTGACTGACCAGCCTCGCAAACAATCACAAAACAAAATCAATCTCTTGCAGCTGAGCCCCGCTACAAAGACAGTGATCAAAACATTGCCTGTGAGGTCTGCTCAGCGCTCGCAAAATGTGTCATACCCTGCACACAAAATAGCCGGATGCCTAACAGCGCTCAAGACATGGAAATCACAAAACAGGGAAGCTGGGGTTTAGTCTTACATTGTTAAGTCTTCCATTTCAGTAGGCGGAACTATGGTCAAGCGTACCCATTTTCGGGAACGCATTTTCGTTCCCATGTTTGGGAACGATAAACCCAAATATGGGAACGCCATGTAGGCATTATTTAAAACAAGAAAAAGAACCGTTAAATGACGTCCAAAAAATATAAAACGATCGTGAACCGCCTGATAGTTGTCTCAATATTGTTGGGAAAGAGTTTGATATTGTAAGGCCCATCGTAGTTTCAAATCGTTCCCCTATTTCTAAAGCAGTCCATCACCCGGGCCGCGAGCCCAAATTTGGGAACGCTCTCGTACACTGGCGCTGCAAGCGTTCCTTATTATGGGAACGGCGTACCCAAAATTGGGAACGATTTCACCGACGCCTTTCAGGGGCTCTTTTCATTAACAAGCATCACGTCCAACGCCGCAAATTATTGTTAACGCAACAATCATCAGATGACCTTTCCGGCAAGACCGTTGCATGTTTCGCCCGGTCTTCTGCGCTTTTATTCCCGTCGATCTCGCAGCGGGCACGCCCCCCTCTGCAGGATTACGTAATCCACAACGCTCAGCGATGTTCAACAAGGTCTTCCATACCTATATCCACCGTCCGCGCCGAGGGTGGAGACATGTCAAGCACCTGTCTGCTAATCACCGAGAGTTGACGAGCACAAGAAGTATCCAAAAATGGGAACGCTGAATATGTTATACCCTCAAAACACCTAGTCCCAATGAAAATCTAGTTTTTTCCTTTCTTAATGAGTGTAAGTGGCAAAAGGCCTGGTAGGATGGGCACGAGGAATGATCGAAATCAGCATAAAAATTATAAATAAGCCACACAGAGCGACCTATATCAGAGAAATTCCCCCCAAACGATCATGCTTAGAAACGCCGAAGACAAAAACCACGCTCATGACGCTGCTTATAAAACAACGCTAAACAGCTAGCATCCAAATAAAATATGTCTTTCAGGGCTGATAAAATACAGCTGAATGATTTTAAACCACTGAAACTGAGTTTACAACAGTAGTTCGGTAAAATCACTGACGTTCCACGCGGTCGATCGCCCCGACACCAAAAGTCAACAATATTACCTCGGGACTGTCCGCGTGTTCGCTTGCATATGTCAGTATCTGGTGTCGCCAGAATGAAACTTCATAACCAGGCGAAAATTATTATACTTGACCTCAAAATGTAAAAAATGCTTCATTTTCCTTAAAATTGCATGTTAAATGTCATATAACCCATATTTCCACCATTCTGTCATTTTTAAAAAATCATTAAAAATATCATTCCACGGTCAATTTCCTTGTTCCACGGTCAGATTAAAGATAACTTTATGGAGATTTAGTAGATACTTAAATCAGCGTGCACTTTTTTGAGACGTGATGCACTTTTGAGTTTTAGTGGGCGAACGGCCGAAAAATTGCCTTCCGTTCTCATAAATGGGAACGCCCGTTCCCATATTTGGGAACTCTGTTCCCAAAAATGGGAACGTTCCTATATTTGGGTACTCATGACCATAGTTCCGCCTACTGATTTGATGATTTTTTTTTTAATTTTTTTCCTAAAAAAAAAAATAAAAAAATATGTACCCATTTATGGAAAAATCTTCCAAAAATGGAAAACTTCTAAAAATGGAAGATTTGTCGACCGCAGCTTCCCTGACTGGTGTGTAATCACATTGTCATCTGCCTTACCTTTTCCCAATCAATAAGTGACACAACTTGGGTGTAGCAGCCACCATTCTTTTTATGAATGGGAATGAATTTATCCAATTGAGCCAACAGATCACGCTCAAAGCTTATCTGTGCAGACACCTCTTCTCGATGGTCATGGTTGTCCATTGTACTAATGCTGTGGGAAAGGAAATGAGTAATCAGAGTAAGCCAGAGTCCATTTATAAGTTTCGATCAGCAAATCAGAAATTCAACGTTAATAGACATTCTGTCACACTTTTTATTCCCTTGACTCCTACCACGCCGCGGACTCGTCGGCCACCTGCGACACATTCATGTAGTACACGTGCACAAACTTCATTTTTGCGCTTAGATACTTTTGGTCTTGTTCATAAGCAATATGAGCAGCTGTCTGCGGCATTACCAAAAAACGTCTTAAAACTTTTTTTCTCATTGTTTATGAGGAACTAGTAGGTTTAATGACTAAAAGATATTTACGTAACATTTTAACATATTTTGAAGCAAATTTTGGGCTTATACCTTAAAGATATCAAGGTAAATAGCAAGTTTCCATGGTGACATTGCTATTTTGTTAAACAGTGAACACTAATCATGTCGCAGACTCGCAGTGATTGTAACAGCTCAAAGAACAGTCTGTTAAGTTTGGACGACTAATTTTTCATGGTTGACCAAAATACATTGAAATAGGATAAATGCGGAATCTCAGAAAAATATTTGATTTGAGGAAGCTAAAGATAAGCAGCATCGATCCAATACAAACACCGCTACAATTCGTTTGATTCATTCCATGAACATGCGTCGATGATTAGGAGTTCGAAGTCTGTGGTCTGCCGGTGCCATTTGCGCAGTGCAACCGTATGCTATCGCCGCTGGATCCAAAGGGAGGCTGAGCATTTATGGCCGGACCCTGTCAGTTTTTACATACCTATCGGCCGAGGGAGGTTGGAGGAGTCATAGAGATCTTAAATTATAAGATCTCTATGGGTGGAGTCCCTCGCTGTTCCGTTTTGCTTTCGAACTAGAGCCTCGCGAAACTGCCCCTTGGATCGAATCGTCTCATGACGTACCGGGGCGGCGGATTTATCTTTTTACCCCGAATAACTTGACATAAAATCATAAATTGTTGGCTGGGCGGAAGTTCACACACGCGTAGGCGACACATGACCATCAAATCGTTAATAATAAATTCTATAGCGATGCATAGCGTGCTGGTAGAACAGTGTCGCGCCGCCTTAGGTAGACTAGATTAATCCTATCCATCATGCTCCTGAACAGTAAGTTGAAGTACATTTCAGCATTCGGAACAGTCACCACCAGCGAGTGACCCAGTAGAAAATGTGGAGAACGTCAGACTGGCGTCTTGTCATTATATTATCAGAATAACTAAAGCCATCATTCTGCACATGAGCACATCATCAAACAGCCCCGTCTGGCCACGTCGCGAACAGCTACGTCTTTCACCGATCAGCTAACATAAGTGATTCATTCACTTACCGAGGAATCATCCTCTCGTGAAAATAAAAATTCATTTAGACTACCAACAGATAGTCACAATTCTAAAAGAAGCACGATCAGTTGCATTGAAACCACATGCCGCACACTGAACATCACCGTCCTAAGCGTCAGTCGCACATTTTTATCCAATCCAATACAATCCGTAAATAATCACACACCTCGTGCTGGAGTGACTATCACTAAAATGACCCGCCCGAGCGCACGGGAAGACCCACTTCATCTCTCTGAGCTGAGTTGACTCAGAACCACCGGGTTCGGTTCTTGGAAGCCCTCGCGGAGGTTTTGATACACACTACATACAGCGTAAGGGCAGTCCGCTACCCAGAAACACAGGCCACACATGACTGATTTGTCGCCTAATATCATAGTCGTCACGCAGAGATAAACATGGTGGTCCTTGCCTAGGACCGACACTTGGTAGATTCTATGATATAGCTAGCACCATTTGGAGTTTGATAGTGTTGCGGCATTCATTTGCGTTTGACGCTGAGCCTTGGCAGTGACGTTCAGAGTTTCGCCTGCTTGCCTCTGACCAGACGGGATCGGAACCTCCAGATGTCGGCAAACTGGAAACCAGAAACACCGCTGTTAGCACGGATCGGGCTCAAATATTCGTACACAAACACCTTTATATAGACACGTGAAATACAATATCTGAATGATTACTGATTAGTGATATTTAGCTTCTGTTAGTCATTGCTGTATGCGCCATTTACAGTAGAATGGCCACATAGCTGCTCAACTGGCTCATACGCCGCAGTGCTCTGTTCGTGAGCCTACACATCACAATATAAATGTGAATTATATACAGCCCTTACCAGCCCACGCCCAGTACCTACCATTAATTTCCGCAAATCTACACATATCTACACCAGCACTAAGCACGGCGCGGCGTCTCACTCACCGATATGTCGTCCACCGAGATGCCGCGCTTCTCGGCGAGTTTCATCACCTCGTCGGCCAGGCTCTGCTGACTGGTGCCTCGCACGTCGATGTAGTGACACTCGGAGGCGGCGAAATGGCACGAGATGGCCTTACGGAAGCCCTGCGGTGACAAGGCGGGGCGAGGGGTCAGCCCGAGCGGATGTAGGAGGTATGGAGAGGTGGCCTAGAGCTCTGAAGTCCCAGAAGGTAGAAATGTGAGCCGTTACGCAGCAGGGATGGAGCATTCTTTCCTTTACTGTCACACTCAAGCGTTCACTACTGTAGTTGAAACACTCGTGTGTCTTTTTCCGGAAAGAAGAAAGCATGGTGGGACGCCAAACCACACCCTCCACCACAAAAACGAGCACTGCATGACACCACCAAGCTCTACCGCCGCTTCACGCAGCCCTCCCGACCTCTACCGACCCCTACCCCACACACGCTGCCCTCTGGCGTCCGCGCGGCTCGAGCACGCGCTGCCCACCTGCGTGATATTGGCGCCGGAGCCGTGCAGCAGCAGCGGATGGAAGAACACCGTGTCGCCCTTCTCCATCTCCACGTACAGCTTGGCCTGGTCGTCGTAGCCGCGCACGCCGTGGTACATTTTGTTCACGCCGTCCTGCCGATAGGAAGAAGGGGATGAGAAGGAATAGCCGTCAGCATACAGCAGTTATAGTGGTGAAAGCAATGGGAAGGGATACACGTCGAACTTCTAGGTCATGAGACCCAGGCAATAACGAATAACGGGAATTATTTCGCGACAGATATTTGAGGGAGAAGGCCGGGCAAACAAGTTTTACATTCCGATTTTAAGCTGGACTACCTAGGGATGGAGAAATAAATATAAATATAATCCATGCAGAGCACATATACCGGGTGTTCATTAATGAATGGAATAAAGTAGCTACGTCACGTGATAACAATAAATCACGTACGCGCAATTCTTGCCTTGTAAATATGAAGCATAGGCTTTATCATTTTTTAATACATGATAACTTTAAGCACGGCGTCATCCAAACGCTTGTGAATGGCTCTGGTTTCGAAGAGCCCAAATCGGCACTTCAAGACAAACTCGCCGTTCAATTATGAACAAGCGGGTTGGGTTGTGGAGAAGTGTGCCGGGTTGGAAAGTCTTACCGTGATTAGGCGGGCTTTCCGTCTTAAGTTCTCTCCGAGAAAACCAGCAGCAATACCACATCTGAATGCTTTTCAGCGTTTGGTGGAAAGATTTAGGATGGTTGCAGCGACACGGCCATGTGTGCGCTCCGGGCGCCAGCCGATGACCCCTGATGAAATGGAACAGGTCAAGGATTTCTTCCGGAAAAATGCCACAGCTCATGCTCGGCAGGCGTGCGAAGAGCTTAAAATATCCATTGGAAAGGTATTGAAGATCCTAATTCTGTCATGGCCTCCCTCGATCGAAGTTCAACGATCTCGCGCGGAAGTGCCATCTGCACTGGCCCGCATACAGTCCCGACCTGTCCTGCCTGGATTTCTCGTTCTGGACTCAAGCTTTGGATCGCGTGATGGAATCGGAGCCGGAAACAATCAAAGAACTGAAGAAGGTCGTGGAGGACTTCGCCAGAGCATAAGCAAGGATCAGCTGAGGAAGATGGTCCGGCACACACAGCGCCGGGCAGAGCCGTGCGTGGCCGAGCGAAGGTGTTACTTTGAGCACTTCCTGTAGGAGACACAAGTGGCAAGCGGTGATCGCGGTGATGTCATCATAAATGATAAGCCCTCCTGAAAATGCAATGTGTGATTTGATAACGTGAGATGAATATATATCTTTCTGGTGCCTACCTACTTTATTCCATTCATTAATGAACACCCGGTAAGTCAACGGATTGATCGTTAATTAATGTCAGCATAGTTGCCTGGATAAACATGAAATAGAATGTCAGTTGTCACCGAAAATATTGACTATGTAGTATCCATGCAGCAAGTCAGCAGCCTTTCATCAAGGTCAGGTCATCGACCCAGACAAAGGTCACGGTCAGTGAGCACCAAGCGACGTCCCACAGGTCATTAGGCACGTGGAGGGGAGGGGGCGGAGGGGTGTCCCGGCTCGCTGCTGCATACCGTCCATCCGGAGAGAGAGAGAGAGAGAGAGAGAGAGAGAGAGAGAGAGAGAGAGAGAGAGAGAGAGAGAGAGAGAGAGAGAGAGAGAGAGAGAGAGAGAGAGAGAGAGAAAGAGAGAAAGAGAGAGAGAGAGAGAGAGAGAGAGAGAGAGAGAGAGAGAGAGAGAGAGAGAGAGAGAGAGAGAGAGAGAGAGAGAGAGAGAGAGAGAGAGAGAGAGAGAGACCAGCACGCACCACCAATGCATACCATGCCGTCCTCCCATCACTCCAGCTGACGGGCCTGATCCGACGGTCAGGGGCCGCATTAGCGTGTCAAGGGACTGGGACGGGAGGCGGCTCTGGGAGGCGGAACCGACCCGAGCGGGCCGACCCGTCATGCCCTGCGGCAGCGGCCGCGGCGGTCACTGTCATGACCCGGTGTACTGAATAGTGGGACGGATGGTAACGACTAGCATTGGCATAGCAGGAACCCGATCGCCGCGCGAGGATGAGCAGCATCATTTGTCTTTTGATGAGCTGATAATCATGGCGGAAGGTAGCACCAATACCGAACTATGAAATTACATGGAACTTGCCATACTAGCAGAATTTGCCACTCCACACCACCAGCGTCTCTCGCCTCCGACCCTCCTCTCTCAGACACCCCACCCACCGCCCTCCCCTCCCTCTCCACGGTGTCTGACCCGGCCTCAGTGGCGGCGTAATCCAGCGCTTAGCGCCGGCTTCTGGCTGCCAAACTCGGCCGCTAAATAGTGCCCGCGGTAATCCCGGCCTAGCATTGTGCCGCGGATGAGCGCAGAAGGCGCCAGCTCATCTCAGTAAACGAACGCCGCCACTAGAATAGAGCAGAGCCAACAAGAGACGCTGATAACGTTCAGAAGTTGGACCGATTTTATTTTATAGCATACCTAAATGCGTGGTGCTGTGCGGTGTGAGCATGAAATTAATGCATGCATGCGAATGGATTTCATATAAAGCTAAAAAGGTGCATACTGCATATGCGAAGATATTATAAAAACGGATATCGAGTAATCTTTGCCCGGGCGTATATGCCACTCGGAGTACAGTCTGTCAACTTCCCCTCTCGAACCGTCCGTACCTGCCGGCTGCCACTCTGGGTCCCCTCCCCTCACCCGTCCGTACCTGCCACTCGGGGTCCCCCCTTCTCCCGTCCGTACCTCCCACTCTGGGTACTCTTCCCTCTCCCGTCCGTACATACCTGCCACTCGGGGTATTCGTGCGGCTGCAGCGGGATCCGGTGCGATCCCGGAACCACGAACAGACACCCGTTCTGCTGGTGGACCCGCTCCATGGCCGTCCACGCACACACGATCCGGTCGGCCGGCCGGAACGGGAAGTAGTGCAGGTCCTGGAAGAAAAGAGGCGCAGAGAGGGGTTAGCTGACACATCATGCACTTACACATGTAGATTACATGTAGAACTAGATATCGGAGACATGATCACAGGGTAGCGATGTGAAGTCGCTGGAACCTGGACAAAATCTGATGATGCAGAGCATGTATGAATAAAGAAGGTGTGGTGAGTAACTAAGAGCTGGGTAATCGAGTTTGACAATCGCCCAGTAGGTACTCCAGCCGTGAGAAAGGTCCAACAAGTGGTGGCACTACAAGACAATTTATTCTCGACACGTGTTACTATCTCTCCTCGTCGTCAGTCAACAAAAAGGGCGATACAAGCGATAAAAGTGGAAAGGGGAAACCACAAATAAATCCTTAATTGAAGTTCTGTGGTACTTAACGTAGCTAGATCACATGGGCATAGAAGGGCACTCCTGCATACCTCTTCCAATATGTTTCACATGGTGGACACTCCAATAGGTATGGGACGAAAAAAAAAACATAAAAATGCACACTCATGGTGAACAGTTCGCACCAAGCGTTCGTACTTTGACCCTCGCGTACCTACAATCCTATGTCAATGTGGGCCGGCCGCTCTCAGGGGCAATTGAGATAGGTCCCGGCGGCAGCGAGCATGTGGACTGATTGACACTCGTGTCAACAATCACCGTATACCAATCGCCGGACTAGTGCAATAGATGGCCCAGTCTGAAAGCCATGTCTGCGGAACAAACAGCTGCTATTGAGCTTCTGTTAGCTGAGCAGTCAGCTAACATTCAGCCATCCATCCATGTGTCGAAAACCAGACCGAATGTCTCATCCAGCCGAACTAACAATGCCCGGTTCCGGGAGCCCAACACATCGCCAGCATTACAACCAGTAGTGCCACATGACCTATCCAAAGGTCAGGAGAGGTCAGTGTATATACCTATCGCCCGGAGCGGAGACCATTCACAGCCGGAAACACGCACCGTTCACAGTCGGTCAGAGATGACCTCTTCAGCTTGAAACCGGGTTGTGACCACGGACTTCATGTTCTATCTTGTGGTTCGATATCATAACGGAAGGAAGGTACATTGCACCTTAATTCGAGTTCGACCGTCTTTCATCTTCATAAATATAAGAATGAAAATGCACGTAATTAGCCATGTTTTCGTCAAACATTCATGCAGGTACAACCAAAGCCCCACTCCCATTGGAGATCTCTCCCTAGCAATAGTAATCTAATTTCCTGGAGGTCCCTACGGGACTCTAATGGCTAATTCCTGCGTTGTGTGCACCACATCGGCATTTGATCCTACGTTTACCTAATCTACATCCGTATATTCTCGGTAAATAACCGTACATAATACACACGTACAGAACATGCACACATCAGCCAGCTATGTCCCGTTCGCCACAAGAATGTTACGTTTAGCTCCAGCTGCCCCAGCCATCATTCCCCGTTTCTCGGACCAGCGGATGGAAGGGACGGCCATGGATGATATAAGGACGACCCTCCCTTCCCACTCAATCATCGCCCGTCCACGCACTCTTTCACCGGCAGTGGCCCAAACCCTAGGCACGTGTCACCTTCCCCGGAGTCGGGGAGAGCCGGGCAGAGAGGCAAATCATTCGGTGACGCAGGAGGGTATTCAGTCTGACTTGTAGGGGAAGTTGGGGGAACGCCGAAGACTTTTTTCTGACGCCCGTAGCACGCAAGGTAGACAACATACGCTATTCTTGTTGGCGTCATTCGAGAGGCCAGTCTTTTGCCTTTCAAACATACCAGGCGCATTTGATGAATTCGCATACCGTTAAGCGCACAAACTAAAAATATCAAAGAAGTGACTTTTTCGGCGTTGCCCCGGACTGCGGGGAAAGCCGAAAATGGGAGAAATGATCTACGGGGAATGCCGACATTGATGTTTTGCCATTTTATCTCAAACTTTATCCAGAATTCATCAAAGCTGACACACGTTTCAAGAGCTTGAGGACGCGGTGCACACTGGAAGTTATAATTGTGTGATATAATAAGAAAATGCCAGGTAAATCATTCCTTATAGGTAACAGGCCGTTGTGTCGGTTGAAAGTGTAATTTGTGTGACTGAAAATACGCGTTGCTATTCTACAGCAGTAAAGTCCACGTAGCGTGCTTTTAACACGTGCGTAATCGCACGTTTTCGGCATTACCCCAGCCAGCCATACTTTCATTTGCAGGCCCATAACTTTTCAACGTGCTGTATAAATTTCAAATAGGCAGCACACTTATGCAAAGACATGCTAAAGATTACTTGACCGAATTGGCCAGACAAACGGTAGCATAATGAGTAAAAAATGCAGCTTCAAAGGCGCATGTAGTACAAGGGAAACGTACCTTGAAAACGCTCTTGGCGCCCTCACAGTCGAAGTATTCCGAATGACGACTCGTAACAAACATGCGATAATTGTAGTCACTTAAGCTTCAGAGCATCACTGACAGGTGGCATCCATGTCTTACGGTTTTCGAAATATCTCGAATTTCGGCTTTGCCCCAACTCCGGCATTGCCCCAACTTCCCCTACGGGCGGCGCGGCCAGTGAGGATAGGACGCGGGAGGGGGGGGGGGTCACCAATCAATGTCTAATGTCTATAGTGAAGAAATCCTTAGTGTGCGGATATGGTGGATAAACTGACAGCTTGCCGTAATCCGGCATAGGAAGAGGAGAGGAGCTGAGTAACTATGAGGATAAGATACTAAGTCGTGAGAATAGATATACCTAGAGGTGGAAAGGGCGAAAGTGAAGGCTTGATGGAGATGACTACCTAAAATGAAGTTCATTATCATAGCAACATCATACGACATGAGGTATTTTAGTGCGGTTTGTGACAACTAAGCGGAGTTTCTATGATCGATTCAGTGACATAGCACGGCTGATAACAGATGTTTGCCGTGGAAAACAGCGCCTACGTTATAAAATACCGTCGGTGAGAGTATTATTTGAAGCTTCTTTTGTTTTGATAAATAGATGATTTCCCAGAAAAATACTGAATCAGCCTGATGAGCGACAGAGTATCACTCTTGTATATAGGTAATCCAGGTGGACACTGCCTATTCTGGCAACACCCCAGCCTCTCATTCTAAGTCACCGACTTTCCGTCAATACCGAGCACTCGTCCTGTGCTTACGGACAGCTCAGACTGGGAAATGCAGGCTCTCGAGTCACGCGGAGACCCACAGCGGCCACGACAACAGTTCTCTCCAGCACGCCCGGCCAGTAATTCGCAGCTAATCCACCCGGCGGGACAAAGCCGCTCTCACGTTTGGCATAGCTCTTGTTAAGCCTGCCTAGTGTTCGGCGAGTGAGCATAACGAAACATTACATTTCACTGAAACTTTGTTATGGTGGATGGCGCATGGTCCTAGATCCCACGCTAAGCAGGAATTGTTGAAAAGGACACCATGGATCCACCAACCGAGCATAACTTCCCCTGTTTGACAGAGGACTAGGGCACAAAGATAGCAACGAATAATTGCCATCGGACGCACCGTTTCCTCCATCAGACTGTACTGAAGCTGAGCTATTCATAACGCCGCTCGTACTTTAAATGCAGCGCAACTGAGCACAGGCGAGTGAAAAAGAATCGGCATATAAAAACCAGTGACCGGACCGGACTGTGTCCACTATTCAGCTATGTAGACAACGGTTGAGCGTTAGATTGACTCTGCCGTGTAAGTCCTTGAAAAAAATACTTCCGATCGACCTGTATTATAGACCAGGGCCTGCAGCACAACCCGCTATGAATAGCCTAGTTTCTGACATCGGACATCCGTCCATTCAAAGCACCAGTATCTCTATGAAAAGTTATAAAGTAAAGATATCGGAACTGTTGAGTTTAATGAGTGCATTTACACGGATCAAGCTAGAGCAGGGAATGCTGCGTGGGCATACACGGTCTGTTTTGCATGTGACCTTCCACGGAAAACAAATAGAACAACGGTACAATCAGGCGAATGAATGTAATGTTCAGAGTCGATTACTTACTACGGGGAATGATGCGACGGCCATTCTTCTCGGACAGTGATAATAATAATCATTCCTCCGTGGAGGGAGCTCGACAATTTGTTTGGTTAGCAATGTGTTTGCTTGGCTCCGCAGGAAAGCTAAAAACACTTCGTTAGACAAGGTGTCAAAAACAAGAAGCAGAGAGCCACTCGACGGCATGCCACCAAGTCACGAAACTAAAAACCCAACCAGCGCTACAAACAGCAGGTCTCGACGGTCACAGGTGCAAATATTTGCAGCCAAAGCGGGCATCCGACCGCGAAAATCGCCGTTCCGATATCGGAGGTGATGTCCGTCGAACCATCGATTAGGACTCGGCACGCACAAAGCAGCGATATGCAGGGGTGGGAGGGACGGATCAAAGACGCGCGGTCACGCGAAGTGCTCGGAAAAGGCACTTCTTACAGGTGCGAGGGCTGTCAGCCGTGACATATCATCGATATATGGATGCAGTGCAACATAGCATGCATGCGCCGATTCAGTATAATAAGAGTATTAAGTATTCCACAGCACAATGTTCAGTCATCGGACGACAAAACTAGTCCAATGTTGAATGTAACACACAAATTCCAAAGAAACGGAGGCGAACTATTCCCTCTCGCGGATGTTTCAAGCCATGGTAACCGGCTCATTAATGGCAAAAACTACACAATGAAGGGCAATAAAGACTGCATAATACTTTCTTCTCATCTCATAAAGACTCGCCCCTCTCAAGTGATCAGGTTTAGACCCCTTACTTTAATATATCACCTAAACTTTACTCCAGAGCGTTACAAATTCCGTTGCAACCCACCATGTCCGAAAACATTGCAAACAAAGTACTTAGCCAGTGGCCAAAGCTAACATTACCGGCTTACAAGTTACAAATATAGCAACTCAAGTGCGATATCAGCTCGCTCAGGTGTCCGCGTGCGCACCTGTCCCGCGCCACATCGTCCTCCGATAGCGGTATCAGTAACCAGCCCAGCAACAGACAGGCTCAAGACACTTCAGCTTCACCTAGGTCATGGCACAACTTGACATAGGTCAGTTGAAGTGTCCATGGCACATTGCTCAAGCGTCATAGGTACTTGAAACGGAACTAAGGTCATGGCACAACATACAGTGCTGAAGTGCTGTAGCTTTGAAAACCCATAAAAACGTCCCATATCTCAGCGTTCAAACAGGGTAGGAAAGAACCAGGCAACAAAAAAACGTCGAAGAGCAAATATGTCATGACGTAAATTAGCGAGTTTGATAGCAGAGCGTCTGACACCACATGACGAAAGCGTGTCGCGGGGTGGAATCCTACCGTCGCTACGTGAGAGATGAGACTAGTACATGCACTCGAGCAGGACGCGTGCTGAAAGTAATGGCTCTTTTTGTGTGCATCAAGTGCCAAGATAGAGACAAATGAAACCGACAGAGAGCCCTACATCAAACGCCTGGTTTTGTAACGAATATATTATCACACCATTGTTGCAATGATGGTGCAGGGACCATTATAACGTCGAATACCATGCAGCAAGCTCGGAAATCGGGACTGGATAATGCATATATGCATATGCGATTAATGCGACATTATGTAACATATATGCGAGTACAGTTCTCTTTCCCGTCCTGTCAGACTCATCCCCCCCCCCCCCCCGGATGGGTATCAGACAAACCTCTGCCCCGGCCTCACCTGGTGCATTGGGTGACGCGATGTCTTGGTGCCCGCGTCCGGTGGTTTATTGATCAGCATCGTGTGCATGGCCATGATGTTCTCTCCGAGGAAACCTTCCACCAAGTCCAGGATCTGGTGGGAGGGCGGAGGTCGTCAGAGGAGAGAGAGAGAGAGAGAGAGAGAGAGAGAGAGAGAGAGAGAGAGAGAGAGAGAGAGAGAGAGAGAGAGAGAGAAAGAGAGAAAGAGAGAGAGAGAGAAAGAGAGAGAGAGAGAGAGAGAGAGAGAGAGAGAGAGAGAGAGAGAGAGAGAGAGAGAGAGAGAGAGAGAGAGAGAGAGAGAGAGAGAGAGAGAGAGAGAGAGAGCCCGCAGTTTGTAACGATTTACTTTTTCATCGACAACATAAGCTGCCACAAATACGATCTTTGATCCAACCAAAAGCACATTGTGAGAAACGTGATCGGAAGAAGTTATCGGTCATAAAGTGATAGCACGACGGTAAGAACAGTCCATGAGTATTACATAAGCTATCCACTCTCTTTTATCGCGGCGATGTTTTTTTTCTTTCTTGCCTCCCCGTTTCTAACAGAAATATTCAAATAGAAACTACCAAATGCGACAATAAGCCAAATGTTCGACAGATAGGACACCTATGGTGTATTTGCTACTTTATCACAAGAGCTCCAGACACTTAGACACACCCACCATTCATAAGTTGTGGGGGCACATTACGCACATTCGTATCGCTTTTTCCTGTCTTTGAATGGTTACATTTTCAAACAGCAAAACGGCTGCCAAATGGCAGCTCATTGCTGGGGGTATTGGCGGAGGCGATACCAGGTAAGGAGAACGGGAACGGGGAGCGAACTGGGGGGGGGGGAGGGCTAGACAGTGGAGGGGTCATTGCCCGGGGGGAGGGGGCGATGGAGGGGGTTCGTTGCCGAGGGAGGACAGACACGCGGGAAGATAGGTGGAGGGGGGGTGGGGGTGGGGGGGGGGGGGTGGGGGCACCACCAGTGTGGGGCAGTTGCCATGGGCCGACTGGGAGGGCCACGGGGCGGGGAGAGTGGTGGCGCGACATGATAAAACGCCGCCGTTGCGCCGCCATGACGGTAACCGTGACTGTGGCAGAGGCAGTGGCGGTCACCAGTGACGGGGGGGGGGGGGGTCCGTTATCGGAGGGGGGGGGCAGGCGTTTCGGCGGGGCGGTGGCAGTGGCGGAGGTGACGCAACGGCCGAGGAAGAGACCAGAGACGAAGACAGCCGCGGCAGGGGGTCGCGAGGGGGGGGGGGGCGAGGTGTTCTCGAGCCGGCGCACCCACCTGTGGCAGCAGTACGAACTGGGAGAGCACGTCGTCCCAGACCCAGTCCTGCAGCTTGTTGACCACCCGCTCCTGCGGCACGTCCGCGCGGCCGCGCAGCGCGATGTCCTTCATCATCGTCATCTGCGACTTGGGCACCCGACCGTCCACAATGTCCAGGAAGCGAGCCCTGCAGCCGATGCGGGGCGGTGGCGTTAAGCTGAGTCCTTCTGACAAACTAAGACCCAAGTGAATGCGTTGAAATAAGAGAAGACATTTGAAATTGAATGAAAATAATCACAAAATGTTAGAGGAGCACAGGTAGATAATTTGAGATACGATTGAAGAAAACCACAAAATGTGAGGGAGTAGGCTGGTGATTTTGATTTTAGAGCAATCGGACTACAGAGGCCATCACAGAGGCGGCACAGTGTAACATGAGATACAGTGGGTTGTCAGACGACCAATGGACACGGCGCACGGCCGGCAGGTGACGGGCGGAGTCAGCCACTCCGCCGCCTTCCACACCGTCAGAGTCGCCTCTTTCCAAGACTAGCCAGCGTTTCTGGTGGGATTCACGGTGTGCAGCGCTCCCAAAACTTCATGGTCATATTGTGACTGCACGAAGGCAAACTATGGGACATTATAACAGGAAATAATTTACAAAGAGATAGTGGGAGTAACCTTGTGGATTCCCGATAAATGAGAAGGCTTAGTGAGCCTGGACAATGCACCCGTCGCTGCCGAATGGGTGAAAAAACCGACACGATAAAATAATGTAAATGTCTAGGATTGAGCATGACAGGAACCATTGCAGCGAATGAACCACTTTCATCACCCGCTAATGCAAACACGCAGACGAATTCTCAGATCTAAGCGAGCGGATCCGGACTTCCCCATTCAACTGACAGAGACCAACCTCGCTCCTGGTACCCTAGCGGGCGGTCTCAATCGCGCTTAGGGATCCGATCCGAATTGCTGATGCCAGTGGCGACACGGGCCGAGTTAGCATGACAAAAGCGGCGCAGAGGCGTAACTGGTGCGCCACGACCGTCGAGGAGTGCCGCACCTCGGCGACAGGGCCGGCGGCGATGTCGCTGTGAATTTATCGGCGGATGGAGTGCCCCCTCAGCGGCTCGTGGGCCGCCGTCGAATGGTGTCCATGCATCTCTGAAGAGGCAAGCGATGTTTCAACGGACCGTTTGATTATTGGTAGCATATGGCATAAGACACGGAGCAAACTGCTGCGAAACGACGAACAAAGGGATGCGCCGCAGGCTATATCTTCAGAACGTTTGATGTGCTACACCAGTTTTTCTGAATCAGCGGAAATTAAATCCAGCCACAAGTTAAAAAAGATAATAAAAAATCGTTTGCTAGTGGCAACGCGAACATTACGCAATCGTGGCAACACTCATTTACAAACTCCACCGCAATACAGACGAGAACTCTTAACACCAAGCAACTTTCCGTGTTTGCCACGCTACTGTCACTTCTAGCCCGCAGCTTGTTTTTAGACAAGGTCGCCTCGCTTCTACTCGTCAAAGGGTTAGCACGGCTCCAAGAGCTCTCGACCACGGACGAAGTTTCAATCTCCCCGGGCGCCGCGGAGCCGAGCGCCGGCTCCAAGCAGATGCTCCAAAACGCTCAAGATCAGCGGTTCGTGCCAGCCTAGAGAAGAGTGGTTCCGTTTGTGGAAAGCAAAGTTTTTGAATAGGAGAAAATAGACATGGCGAACAAATAGTGTGGACTAATGCAAGCAGAGCAGCCGCAGAAATCTCCGGGGAGGAGTATCACTATTCAGAGAGGGTTCGGAACGAGCGAATCAAACCAGTTCATTCATCAGTTGCAATAGGTGTGGTGTCACAGTTGGTCAATAAATAGGCCTGCGTATTACGTAAAGCATTCTGTGGACAGAAATAGCAGCAGTCCGATCCCCATTCAAGCAGACCCATGGGATAGCATTATGATAAAAAACGAAACAAACGCGAAAACGAGGCCCGGCCTCAGTTAAATCAGTAGGTGCGCTCCATAGAATAAACCATTAATTATTTACCATAATGGATATGCTCGGTAAAATCATAACTATATTGACAAGAGGCGCAGTCGCAGTTAAGCCTCATTCTAACATCCTGACCAGTTGCCAAAACTTCCCACGAAAATGTGTAAACTTCTTATCCTTCCTCTTATTCGGCTATATTACAGCCTCCCCAACAGCGGCCACGTAACCAAACCGCCCCATCCAATTGCTACACACTTCGACCCGACAAATAACGTCCTCCCCAGCATCTGAGAGCGCCCGCCTGCTCCATGCTCCATCAGGGCCACCCGGCGAGTCAGACGCAACTCTCGACCTCAACAGCAGACTCTTCGGTCATACAGCTCGGGATCGGCCGTCGATTCAAATGCAAATGATCGGTGCAGACTTTACAAACAACATTTGCTGTGTGTCGATGGCGGATGCGATACAGATTCCTACAGCGCAAACCAGTACAGCTCGCGGTTGGTAGTCGTTTTCCCGGCATTTCTTTATTCCTGCTTTCAGTCATGCCATTCACTTGTCTCATACAAAGATCCTCCCTAAAGAACCAGGCATCCATTGAGCAAGCCTTGTTAGTGGATATGACTGCTTACAAGTTGGAGTTCTTTCTGGGCATTTGTCGTCTGAACTATACCATCAATACAGCAAACATCTCCACAGCTGAGCTGAAGTGCTGTTCACTGTTCAGCTCGACTTCTCGCACCATCCCCTCAAATCAGCTTGCGTCTTTATACGCTTTCCTCTCCTCTTTCCAGGATCAGCCTTTCCCTGCACATTACCCCTTCTGCCAAGACCCTCCTCCATCCCCAGCTATTATCACTCATCCAAATCCCTTCCCCTCCCCAACCATCTCCGCCTCTCTTGCTCTTTCCCTCTCCCAATGCTCCCTCCAGTGGCGGCGGAACATCTTCAAATAAGGAGGGGGGGGGGGGGCACCGCCGACTGTTGGCCCCATTCTCTCCATGCAACGCCCATAGGACTTATGTTAAAATGCCAAAATCAAAGGGGGGCACGGTGCCCCCCCCCGTTCCGCCGCCTATAGCTCCCTCCCTCTCCCCTCTCACCTGAACTTGTCGAGCAGCTCATCGGGCACCAGTTTCTTCACCACCAGGAAGCCGTTCTCCTCGTAGTGCCGCCGCTGTTCCTCCGTCAGTCGGCCATTGTCCAACGTGAGTTGGTAGGAGGACGCAGTGTCACCCTCCTTCTCCAGCGGGCTGACGGAGATGTCCACACGCACCTGAGGGTCAACAGAGGTCAGCGCGGGTTGGGGAGGTCACAGAGGGAGGTCACTAAAGGTCAGTGGAGATTAGGGAGGCCATCAGAAGACATAATTTCACCAGTTAGAAGATAAACTGAGGCCAAAGCAGGTCATTAGATGATGGAGATAATGAAATTCGGTCTAGTTTTCTTCATTATGTCACTGAAAGTTCGAGCACAGTTTCAGTTCCTTTTCTTGGTTACAAATCCATAGGCTTTTTTTTTTTGGTGTCAGTTCCGTATGTTTTTTTACAAGTCGTAAAATGCCGGTAAAAATGACGGTATGAAACCTATGTCGGTAAAATGTCGGTCGTGTTCACAAAGCTAAAACGTAGGGTCTGCATTAGAGGTCACAGGGTAGACCATGAGCCCACATCACACATTCACGAAGGCGCAGTGTATCGTACCTTCATGCCAGACAGAGTCTGCTGGACGACTTGCCGGTTGGCCGCCATGATCTGAAACGGAGGCCAGGCGGGGGCTCGTCAGTCGACTGCGGGTCAAAGGTCAGTCCCGTTCGCCTGGCAGCGCAGTGCAGTAAACAGACGCTCTGCAGAGGCGGGGGCCACCACAGTTGAAATTGGAGGTGAAAATGTCACGGCATCAATGCGCAATGGCAGTTAGAAACAATGGGTGGACTGGAAGAGATGAATAATTCAATAACGCCAATGAGTTCGAGCAATCCAGAGACGTGGCACGGCGTAGCAACGCGGCTTGACGTTGATCTTATTGGAAAATAATGAAATAACTTCTCGATGTGCGGAGTTGTACGCCTCGTGACAGTGAGCTGTACAATTCGTATGGAATTAGGAAAATCACGTGAAATGAGTAGCTTAAAATGTTCTGCACGTATACAAAAATTGATCTCAACGATCTATTTATTTATTTTTATTTATTTATTTCACATCGTGACTGTCCTTTCCATCATACAATGGCTGTTCTTGGCAGTCGTGTCCAATAATCACGGAATTGGGAATCGTATGCACATCATTCAGGACAAACAATATACGACCATACAGCGTGTAAAAATATACCTCATCATGCAGTGTTCTTCTTAATCAGGGAGAACTAGTCATCGCCATACTGTTCCCTCAGCAGCATCGCCCGGTACTCCTTCTTAAATCTGTGCAGGCCTAGCTCGCGGAGTGCTGCTGGGAGGCTGTTATACATGGTCACAGCGCTATACAGAAATCGACGGCGGCCGGCCTCCGTTCGGATCATAGGCGTGTCCAGATGATCGGCTTGTCGAGTGCCGCGGCCATGCACGCTCCCTCGACACGCTATACTAGCACGCAGAACCTCGGGCTGTCCCGTGGCGAGCATCTTCTTTAGCAGCATGACTGATTGAAATCGCCACAAGTTCTCAGCTGAGAGCCATCGCAGTTCTCTCATGACGTCACTTATGTGATCGAACTTTCGGCGACCCGAGACAACGCGAGCGCCGAAGTTCAACAGCCTCTGAAGCCTACTGGTCTGCGTGACACCGCAGACACCGTAAACACTGATGGCGTACCGAATCGTTGACACAGCCAAAGCCTGCACGAGCGTGACTAGCGTGTCCCTGGGTAGGTAGTGTCTGGTGTGGCAGAGGCCACTCAACACTCCTGTACAGCGGCGCACAACCTCGGATACGTGAGTGTCAAACGACAGGTGTGCATCAAATGTGACGCCAAGGTTCTTCGCCGTCGGTGACTGCTCTATGGTGGCGCCCATAAAATCGACCGTGATGGGTGGAAGTTGCCGTGTGTTTTGGCGTGTGCCGATGACCAATAATTGAGTTTTGTCTGCGTTAACTTTGAGACCGTTTTTACGAAGCCAAACTGCGAGCGCTGCTAAATTTTGCTCCATGCACGCCACCAGAGCGTCAGCGTCCCGGGGGCTACCGAACACGGCCAACTGAGTGTCATCACAGTACTGCACTAGACACGTGGCATGCGAGACACTCTCAGGCTGAAACAACGGCATGTCATTTGCATATGCACTGTACAACAGGGGGCCCAAGGCGGATCCCTGGTAGGTGCCAATGGGGTTGGCCAATGGTTGAGAGAGCATGCTACGACCGTCCGGTGTCCGCGTCACAACCTGTTGAAAATGGTCACCGAGATAGCTAGCAAACCAGCGAGTATCGACACCATACTGTTGGAGTTTCTCCAGTAGCCGGTCGTGAGGGATGACGTCGAAGCATTTGGACAAGTCCAACATGCACAGCAACGCCACCTGCCTCCGGTCCATCGCCTCAAACATCCTGTCAGTCATGGTGAGGAGTGCTGTCTCTGTCGAGTGGTTTGTGCGGAACCCGTGCTGACATGTGGAGAAAAGGTGATGTTCGGTGAAGTAGGAATAGAGCTGCTCATAGACGATTCGCTCTGTGATTTTGGCTATAGTAGGAAGGATAGCTATGGGCCGGTAGTTTGAAGTGTCAGTGGACCTGGGGCTCTTTTGGATAGGATGGATTAGTGTCATTTTCCAAGGTCGCGGGACTGTGTGAGAGGCTAGACTGGAATTAATAATATGTGTTAGAACATGTGACACAGCTGGGAGACAAGACTTTATAAAGCGCACACACAGGCCATCTGCACCACTCGCTGAACTGTTGCTCATAGCGGCGACAGTGCTGACTACTCGCTCCGGTGTAACCGTCTGCACCACAAAACCGCCGGCGACAACTCGCGGCAGGCGCACCGGCAGCTCCGGCCCGGTCGAGTCAACCTGACGGGCGATCCGAGTGCCGATGCTAGCAAAATATCGGTTCATGTCGTCGGGACTGGCACTCGGAGCCGGCCTCGACGCTCTGCCACCCGAGACCACGCTCCGCACCGATTGCCACATACTGCCCCTGCCGTTCTCCTGGATCCGCCTCTGGATGTCTTGTCGGCTGTCCCGGCGGATAGCAGACTTGACCTGCCTGTTGAGTTCCCGGTACCGGTCACGGTCGCCGTCACGGAGACAGGAGCGTCGCTCGGCCATCAGCTGCTTGGTCGAATCGGTGACAGGCGGTGCGGTCGGGTTTCTCATCTTCATACGCTTCAGAGGAGCCAATGAGTCCAGCACTGGCAGAGCCTTGCTCACAAAATAGTTCCACTGCGACTCCGGCTCTGCACTGGTATAAACTGGTAACCAGTCCACCCTCTGTAAGCGCCGATTGGCCTCGGTGACGTCAAACTTGCCCCAGCGCCGGGCAGTAACGGAGCACCGGGCGGGGCGACACTCGGGGACACTAATGAGAGCTCGCAACCACCTGTGAGGGCTAAAGTCGCATGCCAGTGTTCCGGTCCGCGCGGCGTCAGTGTTGGAACACAAGATGTCGATAGCGGACCCAGACGGCTCAAATGTCGGGCCGCGGACATGACGGCGTAGACCGTAGGCGGCCAGGAGCTCCCGCAGTCGGCTGCCCGCCGTGCCCCCGCCGCCGCTGGTGGCCAGGTTCACATTCACATCACCGGCCAGTACGACAGGTCCGTTGTGTTGCGTCACTACATGCTGAATCTGTCGCTCGAGCTCCTCTAGGTCGGCGGCGACCCGGGTGACAGCTCTCTCCGGGGGCCGATATACGGAGCACACCGCCACTCGCCGAGCACCGGCACGGACCCGGAGCCAGAGTGTCTCGAGCCCGCTCCCCTCCACGGGACGGCCCAGGCCATCTAGCACCGTAGCCTCTAGCCCGCTCCGCACGAGTACTGCGACCCCGCCATAGCCTCGTCCGTCAGGACGGTCACTCCGGTAGATATCGTACCCAGGCACCGGTATAAGTCTGTTTGGTGTGGAGGGTCGCATCCATGTTTCGCTCAGAGCGACAATGTCAAATCCGTGTTCACTGATGTCATGTCGAAGCTCAAGTAGATGTGGTTTCAGAGACTGTACGTTGAGGGCAGCGAGGTAAAGCTGCCCTCAGCGAGGTAAAGCTGCTAATCTAGCCTCACGAGCAACGGCAAATTAATTGTCTAGCGAGATTGACGCTTAAATATATAAACAGATGAATACAGAATCACCCAAGGTAGAGAGCACAAACCATCCACCTCCATCTCGCAGCACCTTCAGTCCACTCCACTCACCTCTGCGCCTCTCTCGCGGGACCTGAACCGCTCGGACCCCTCTACCCGCCCTTCGGCCGACCAATGGCCGCCCGCGGCACACACCCCCTTTTATACACACCGGAGCACGCCCCCGTCACCGTCCGCGTGTTGATAGGGCTCCCGCGCACAGACGGGTCGCGCAGTTAGTACAGGACAGACGGGCTGGGATGAAGGTGGTGTCTGTTATGGGGCCGGGACTGATGAGTAGTGAGCACGAAAGTAAAAGGAGCTACCGTTGGGTGGTGCTATTTGATACCATATTTACAGTTGTCGGCCTCCTTTAAAAAAAAAAAAACATTGCTAAAGCATGTAAATTGCAAAAGTGGCCAAATATCCGTGAGCTGTCTCAGAGTCGTGTTTTGGTTTCGGTATTAACAATGACCTCAATTGCCTCACCTATTTTGATATGGTTTTTATCCAGGGATGCGGAGCCGTGGAAAATTCCGACGGCTCCGGCTCCGGCTCCGGAGAAAAAAAAATCGTCTACGACTCCGACTCCGGGTGAAATGTCATGACAGCTCCGGCTCCGGCTCCGAGTAAATTCCGACTCCGGCTCCGGTTCCGATTAAAATGGTCCGGCTCCGGCCCCGACTCAGTACATCCCCTATGCGATCAATTAAATACGGGTGGAAGAAAAAGGCGATTGGATTGGAAACGAGTCCACTGCACTGGCTTCCAAACAATGGCTGTCACCTGATGACCAGTCCTCAGGCTCTGGGGATGCAGCAGACGTGGGATGGGGAGGGGGGGGGAGCGAAAAGGAGGTTGATGGAGTACTGTGGGACACTGGGGATACGTATTCAGTTTTTTTTTTCATTCACGTGATGGCCTATGCCGTACCACAACTGCCTTGTACTTTCAAGCCGATCTAGGTCAATTATTTTTTTCCTCTTCAAAAAAACAAAAGCAATGAGCCGGAGTCGCCTCCTTCTTTGACGGCTCAGGCTCCGGCTCCGGGATATATTGTTTCACGGCTCCGGATCCGGCTAAAATGTGCCGGCTCCGGCGGTTCCGGCTCCGCAACCCTAGTTTTATCATCTATTTTTCAACGAACGATAACTAAACAACGAACGATAATCGGCCGTATATGAAATAATTCAATGCTTATAAACATTCAAAAATATACAGTAGCCCTTATAGGCTAAAAAATCACTTTTGAAAATTAAAATCAATCACTCTTGCAAACTGAAAGCTAGATTGATATAGCTATGAGACTCGAGTTGAGCATTGAATGGTTATTGGGTAGGCATCAGGCATTGGGTCCATGGACCATCTGAGTACATAGGGCAATGGGCGGTAAGTCGGAGTACCTACCTATAGGTATTATGCGAATCCGGAGTAGGAGTCAATGAAAGAAGGCGATTCTGCAGCACTTCTTAACACAATATACGTTTAAAACTCAAAATAAAGCAAACGAATGTCACCTACCTTTCAAGCCAAAGATCACTTTCCGGAGGCTCCATTTCCGCGAAATAATGGCCACACCAGCTGCAGAAGGCACCTGCAGTGACATGCAGTCCAGCCAGGCAGGTGCAGGGTGCACCGAACAGCGGCAGAGAGAAGCGAGTGAGGGCAGCCTCATGCAGCTCATGGCGAGGAGGTGCAGCACGGCAGCTGCAACAGTGCCTGAGGAGGGGCCGCCATGCACAGCACACACCAGAGAATGTTAGTGAAATGGTGCGCACAAGGAATATAGCATGTTAGGAGGAGAATTCATGCAGTCCAGATTGGTGACCAGTGACCACTTGTGAATTTCCTATGAAAATGTGTTATAATAATAGTTCAACAAAATCCAAATGCACTTGGGGCTAAGAAGCAGACATTTTCATTATAATCAGGTGAAAGCAAAAAAAAAAATACAGAACTAAAAACTCACATGCAATGGTGATATAATCCTACTTTACTGAAAGACTGAAATAAAAAATTACCAGCAAAATGCATAATCGCCTAAGTACTAGCAATAGGCTGCTAGTAATTCTAGTTTTTCTACAAAGTACTAGTGTGACCATTGCAATTTACACCCTTTAACCAGCACTCCCAAAATGCATAAGATATGTCTATATTTTACTTGCACAATCCTGTCATGGTAATGGGTTTTTTAATTAAAAATAAGACAATTTGAAAAAAAATGCTGGCTAAATCGAGCAGGGCTGGAAGTTCACTTCAAACTAAAATTTGATCAGCCAATCAATGGCTGGAGTGGGCGGGGTGATGACCATATATGGTCATAAAATCAGACTTCATCTTTTCCATGCATCCTAGCATTCAAATGAAAAAATAAGGTGTACAGGGTGCGGAAAAAGTTCTGTCATATACATGCTAATCTCGCCTACGAGCGCTGCGGTTGAGTTCTGGGCAGCGAATAGCCGCAGGCGTGACCTTCGGTGACCTAGCCACCTGGCCGGAGGGCAGAAACTACCAGCCATTCACGGTCAGTCATGAAAAGGCAGGCTAAACGTCACCTCGTCGCTGGGTGCCTGCGCGCGGCGGCCGAATCGGACATGACCGATAAGCAGGTTACGGCAAAATGTGGAGTCACCTGGCGAACAGTCATGCGCATTAAAGCCAAAATACGAGCAGGGGAGACCAAGGGGGAGACTGTCGATCCGATGGTTCGATTCAATCCGGTGAATAAACATCCACAGAAAGTGATGGTGCTCGGCGTGGTGGGTTCGGACGGCAAGAAGTGCCCGATGCTCTTCATTGATGCCAATGAGAAGGTGAAGATGGTGGTGTACGAACGTCTGCTGAACAATGACGTCATCCCATGGATCCTGAAGACCTATACACTCGGCAATTTTGTGCTCCAGCAGGACGGAGCGCCCGCGCACACTGCAAGTTCCACCCAGCAGAAGCTGTCGGAAGAGCTCGGGGGAGGCCCATTTCTGGCGCAGGGAGATGTGGCCTCCTCAGTCCCCCGACCTGAACTCCCTCGACTACGGCATCTGGAGCGTATTGCAGGAGGAGGTCCAGGGAGTGTCTCATCTTAATGTGGAGGCTCTCAAGGCGCACATCGTGAAGACGTGGGAGGCGATGGACCCCGCATACATCTTCAAGACATGCCAGTCTTTTCACCCCTGTGTGGAGAAGGTCATCACCGCTGAAGCAGAAGGGGGTTATATTGAGCGAGGGGGGAGTGAAAGCATGTGGTAAGATGTGGCAAACCAGTGTTTGGTGGTTTTATTAAATATAGCTGCTAAGGTTGCATTTATTTGTGAAAATGCGGAAATATGACAGAACTTTTTCCGCACCCTGTAATAATGTTTTTTAACCACACAAGGCCTACACTCACACTCGGTGCACGATGCACTGGCGTCTCTAAATCGCAGAGTTACATTACAAGGTCAAACAGTGATTGGCAAATATGGCAGATTGAAACAGTCATGCCAAAAATGTAAGCAGCACAGTGGTTTTAAAATGTCACTATCTTTATTATTTTGATTATGATTTTTTCCAACTGTGATTAAATTATTATTTTAAGATAAAATATATTTATTTATTGTAAACTAGAGGTACAGGTTTACGCGATAACTGTATGTTTTGATATGTATGATTAACGGATGCATTAGTTTGGGTGTAGAAACTTGTATTTTTATTGGTATTATTTGTGTAGAACTGGGTAACTGCTTTTAATTGAACTATAAAGTATGATGGTGATGCATGCGAGTTGTTCGAGCCCTTTGTAAGTTAGGATGTTACTCAATTCAACCCTACCGTACCGTACCGTACCGTACCCTACCCTACCCTACCCTACCCTACCCTACCCTACACTTACACTACCCTACCCTACCCTACCCTACCCTACCCCTACACTACCCTACCCTACCCTACAATCCCCTACCTACCCTACCCCACCCTACCCTACCCTACCGTACCCTACCGTACCCTACCCTTACCCTACCCTACCCTACCCTACCCTACCCTACCCTACCCTACCCTACCCGACCCTACCCTACCCTACCCCTACACTACCCTACCCTACACTACCCTACCCCTGCCCTACCCTACCCTACCCTACCCCTACCCTATCCTACCCTACCCCTACCCCTACCCTACCCTACCCTACCCTACCCTACCCCACCCTACCCTACCCTACCGTACCCTACCCTACCCTACCCTACCCTACCCTACCCTTACCCTACCCTACCCTACCCTGCCCTACCCTACCCTACCCTACTTTACCCTACCCTACCCTACCCTACCCTACTTTACCCTACCCTACCCTAAACTACACTGCCACCGACAATCCAAGTTTCAGCTAAATCGGCCCAGAAACGGCTGAGATATTGCAAACACAAATTTATCGTATATACTGGCGAATCCCCTTGGCGAGGGGTGCCCGGCGCCGGTATTCGTTGTCAAAGGTCAATGACCTTCCGGCTCTGATTATTTCCAGTCAGTTTTTAAGCGAACAACTGAGCCTAAAGCACGTGCCCTCTGCTCGGCGCCGGTCGCGGCCCCATCACGTGCACACCGCTGAACCCACCCCCTCAAGAATTTAATACGACAAATGAGTGCACGCGATCGACTTACAGCGAAAATTTCACCCCCGTAGCCCTTACCGTTCCCGAGCAATAGCCTGTTTTTGCCGATTCTAATGCTAACCCTATGGCGCACATGAGCACGCGCCACGGGCGCACCCCCGGCCGCATCGTGCCCAAAATTTAATACGACCTGTTCATTTACGTGACCCATGAGTGGTAAAAATTTCACCATCCTGCGTCAATCGACGGAGCCGCAATAAGCGTTTTTGGGAGTAACCCCGACGGCGGCGTGGGCGTGGGCGGCGGCGGACTTTTTAAGATTTATAATAGTAGACTAGAGGTACAGGTTTACGCGATAACTGTATGTTTTGATTTATGTTATGTTACGGATGCATTAGTTTGGGTGATTGACTTGTATTTTTAGCTGTATTATTTGGGTAGATTTGGGTAGCTGTTTTTAATTGAACTGTAAGGGATGGTGATAGTTGCGGGGTGTTCAAGTGTTTTGTATGTTGGGCCCTTTTTGAACTCAACCCTACCCCTACCCTACCCTATCCTACCCTACCCTACCCTACCCTACCCTACCCTATCCTACCCTACCCTACCCTGGCCTACCCTACTACCCTACCCTACTCTACCCTACTCTACCCTTCCCTACTACTCTACCCTACTCTACCCTACTCTACCCTACCCTACCCTACCCTACCCTACCCTACCACACCCTACCCTACTACCCTACCCTACCCTACCTAACTCTACTCTACCTAACTCTACCCTACCCTACCATACCCTACCCTACTACCCTACCATACCCTACCCTACCCTACCCTACCCTACCCTACCCTACCCTACCCTACCCTACCCTACCCTAGTCCCTACCCTACCCTACTACCCTACCCTACCCTACCTTACCCTACCCTACCCTACCCTACCCACCCTACCCTACCCTTACACTACCCTACCCTACCTTACCCTACCCTACCCTACCCTACCCGTAACCTACCCTACCCTACCAACCCTACCCTACCCCTACCCTACCCTACCCCTACACTACCCTACCCTACCCCTACCCTACCCTACCCTACTCCTACACTAACCTATCCTACCCTACCCTACCTCTACCCATACCCTACCCTAACCTACCCTAAACTACACTACCACCGACAGTCCAAGTTTCAGCTAAATCGGCCCAGAAACGGCCGAGATATTGCAAAAACAAATTAATGATATTTACTGGCGAATCCCCTTGGCGAGCGGTACCTTGTGTCGGCCTTCGTTGTCAAAGGTCAATGACCTGCCGGCTCTGATTGTTTCCACCATTGACCTATAATGAGCACATGAGCACGCGCCACGGGCGCACTCCCGCCCGCATCGTGCCCAAAATTTAATACGACCTGTTGAATTACGTGACCCACGAGTGGTGAAAATTTCACCCTCGTGCGTCAATCGACGGCGCCGCAATAGGCGTTTTTGGGAGTAACGCCGGCTGCGTAACCCCGACGGCGGCGTGGGCGGCGTGGGCGGACTTTTTAAGATTTATAATAGTAGATAAATTATATCTGTTAACAATTTTCTATCAAAACACCAAACTATTTATGGAATGGCCGGCTGATTGTGACGCCCAGAACCTGCAGAAAAGCCGTTTTCCTATTGCCATTTTTGAGTGGATTCGCCGAATTTAATCAATCACGTTGACTCCTAGTGGAAAATGGAAGCCTTTTCTCTCCGATTTAAGTGGACGCGATACCGCAAGTACTGGCACATAATACCGTTTTTCACCCGTAATACCAGCGGGCAGCGAGGGCTGCATTTATGCCCATATATGGTCATCAAAAGTCTATTTATTGACCAATCAATTTTTGGATCTTCGCCTCGTAGTTTCCCCTGGTTTCCACAACTGATATTTCAAAGACTGCCTTCCTGGGCCCTGTTTCACCCGTGATAGCAGCACGCTGCTTTTACACATGTCAAATTGGGTTTCTATGGAAACATCAACAGACCCATTGCTCCAACACTAGGTACCACAAGTGTGACGTCAGCTCGCGCAATTTGATAGCAGCGTGGTAGCAGCGTCCCGTGAAACACCGCCCTGGATTGGATCCACCAGTGCAAGTGCCCCTAACACATCAAGAATCCATTTCTTATAAAACTTAAGGTAAAGTGAGGTTAGAGGTAACAAATGGTAAAACCCACACTCACCAGTCACCACATCCACCATAAATTAATGAAATTTAGCTTCAATACCTTTTCAGTAAGGCCAATGTCGTTGTTGTTGTTGAAGAGTTAGGGAACGGTCAATGCAAGGTCATATACAGTGGCCAATTGTTTGTTTTCTTGGTTATTTAACGACGCATCAGTCATACAGTGGCCAATGTCAATGTGCAGAGAGGATAACAAATCAGCAGAGCTTTTGAAAAGCATATAGAGAAAAAGTTAAAAATCTTTCTGTTCTTTTCTGGATTCAATCCTGTGCTTCATGCTGCTTGTAGCAAAACATCTGGTGTGCATTCGTTACTTGTTGTCAATAGTGCTGGCGCTGTCCAATAAATCTCAAAATGTGACAAAAAAGAACATAATGTCAAATCGAAGGCAAAAGAATAGAAAATGTCATTTCTGCGCCAGTATTGACTTATATTGAGAAAACAAAGGATAAAACAAGACTACTAAATAAAAATTACGTTTCCTTTATGTTGAAACAGTGCAAGTGGTCAGTGGAAAGTGCATTGCACAGAATAGTGAACAACATACCACGCCACCACATCAGTTACCAATCATTGCCACGTCAGGTGCACGTTAGTTGTGAGGAAAAGAACGCATGCATGCATAATCAAGCAGCTTAAAATTCGACATCGAAATTTTGAATGGGCACTAGAAGCAATCGGGCTCGAATAGTATCGCTCCCTTACGGACTCACAGAGAGGGTTCAGTCCAGACCATGGGCTGATCAGTTCACAAAGCAAAACCTCTCTCATGCAGACAGCGCCTAGTAGTCAGTACAGTAGACAGTAACCCATCGAATATTTAAGCATGGGGAATAATGAGCACTCAAAAGCTCACAAAATTGCACGAGGTGTCTCAGAAACAGACGATCGACACCTTTCGCCGCCACAGTAGATGAATCGAAAAATTCATCACTAGCGCTTGCCGTTTGTAGCATATTTACGTCTGGACAACGAGTTGCGTTGGAGAGGCCGGAAATAGTGGCGATTTCAGGACCGCAAGAATGGACCGTCATTGGAATGATTCTTTTTTAAACCGTGCACTGTTTTCGGCCGGAATTCAATAGTTACTACAAAATATTTTGTAATTACGTTTCCACCAAGAATGAATGCCATCAGGGCTAAATTTTTAATACTATTGCATTTTGTCAAGAAGCATATAGTGCTGTTATATTGCAGTTTTAGCGCGTTTGTTACAAAATACGAAGCGAATAAGCGTCAGTGTAATTCATCAACAGTGCCGGGAAAGCTATGCTAATTGCTCTTGTCCATCCACTAAAATTTATCAAATATTTTGCTTTGTGTATTCCAAAAGGAGAGGGAACTATTTCATTTGTGCCTTCATGTCAGAATTGAAGGTGGATCATTAAATTTTCAACGCAGTTTACAAACAAGCATTTGGTCTTTCTCGTTTATAAGCAGTGGCTAAGAAAAGGTTGATCAATCCTGAAGTTCAGTCATCGTACCTCAACTTGGCAGCAAGATCCCCCAAGGACAGAGGATATGATAAATGATAACAATACGTCAAATGTATGTTTAAACACACAAAACTTTCGGTATGAAAATACCTTGATCACTGTGTTAACAGAAATGAGGACAGAAATTACAGAGGATATATAAATTGTATACATGTCCTGTAAATCAAAACAAACAAGCATTTGGTCTTACTCGTATATAAGCAGTGGCTAAGAAAAGGTTTATCAATCCTGAAGTTCAGTCATCATACCTCAACTTGGCAGCAAGATCCCCCAAGGACAGAGGATATATGTAAGCGTCTAGCCCCGGCCGCTGGCGTCAGAGGCACACGCCGAACTCGGAGCCAACCAAGCGTGTATTCAGCAGACAAACAAACAAACTGAAACGCCCTAGAAAGAAAAGACAAACAACTGTCACAATCCCGACACATACAAAGCCGGCACGAAATATCAAAACCCGTTATTAGAGAATGTGAAATAAAATAAACAGTAATTATCACGAAAGTTGAAACCCACCGTTCAAGCAGGCGCAATCCAAGCACATCTCGATCCTCGCCATGTCGCGGCGCACCGAATTCCCGCTCTGGACGCGACGGGGGCTCAACGGAAATTCGGCTGCTCTCTCATTGGTCAGAATAAACGGTTACCTGATTGGCTCTCGCGTGGCGCGCAGCTACATCATTGGACGAAATCATTACAGGAAGTCTAAAACTCTTCGGATAAGAAATATGACACATAACTAAAGAAACATTGGTACCGATCAATATCAAATAATAAAATAGTCATTACAAATCAGTATCATAACTAAATAGCACTAAACACGCGACAACAAACCAAGGACATTATTGCAGCACAGGACGAATTTAGAGTTGCCACTTTCACTTCTGGTAGGCCCAGTATCCGCTCGCATAACATGTAAGCGGAAATCCGCTTACACCCTTCCTCCCTAACGCGAAGAAACTTCTCGATTATTTACACATACAATACAACGCATCGACCTACGAACAAAGGAACTTTTTTTTTTAACTGGACGGCTAAACATGTTCGGTCTCAACTGAATAACTCCGTATTGCAGCTCAGCTCGTGCGCTTCTCCATTCGCTAGAGAACTACCTAGGTGCCCATTGTACAGAGGTAACACTAAGGCTCGCTTGCAGCTGTTCTTACTACGATAGGAATCACAAGTCAAGTTATCGCCCAATGTCATTGCCTTTCACCCAGTATTAAACATTAAAAACGACAGCAGCACACAGCAGCTCTGTGTGATAGGTACCCACAACGGAAAATCACGGCGAATACCTGTCGGGAGGAATGACTACTCGTGTTGACCTACGCAATTCGGGACTGCGCATATCTGCGGTAACCTGAGTGTTCGCCACGTCGGGCGGCACCTCTGCTGCTCCAGTCGGAGCTGAACCTGCTATCGGTTCTGCGACTCCCTCTGGCGTCTCACGTGTCTCACGCGCTGTCTCTGTCTGAACTGGGAGTGTCTGCGGGGCGAAAGATATGGCGAACGGATTCAGCAGGGACAGGGCCGGCGGTCCTGAGTCGTCAAGACTAGCGGCGTCAGCTGGTTGGCAACTAGGCCTACCTTCACACTGCGCACCACTTACCCGCTGATTGTCACTGACACCATCCATCCTCCTTCGGCCTGTCGGAAAGGTCACGCCTGCTGCTGTCCCGACAGCCGGCTGTGGTCTCGCGGCGGGGTCCGCCCGTGAGACGGACGCTGTCGGTGCGGTCACCGGTGACTCACCTTCTCCGGTATCCACTCGAGGCTTCAACCTGTTGTGGTGTACGATGAGCGTAGACCTAGCTCCTTCTAGTCTGATCCTATAGTTCAGAGGACCGACCTGATCTACTACTACTGCTCTCTTCCAAGGACGCAAAAACTTATAATACTGACCGCGCGGAACGATTCCCTTATGCAGATACACTTTGTCTCCAGGTAGGTAACTATTCTCATTTAGCTTTCTATCATAAATCTCCTTATTCTTCTGATGACTTCTGTTCGAGTTCTCTAGTGCTACTGGGGCTTCACTGAGGGCTTTGCGAAGCCGGTCGAACGAGAACTGCGCTTCCTCTGACCACTGGAACTTCACGTCTTTCTGCAACAGCTTGAAGAGCGGTGCAGAGATGCTCGCAAAATTTTTGACAAATTTGCGCATGTAACCAGCCAGCCCTAGGAATGAGGAGAGCTGCTTGGCTGTCCGCGGAATCGGCCAGTCGCGCACTTTGCTCACACGGTCGGGGTCGAGAGACAAGCCACTCTCATCCACCACATGTCCCAAGAATTTGACACTCGAACGGAACAGGGAGCACTTTTCCAGATTGATCGTGAGACCGGCTCGGTGGAGCCTGTCTAGAACTAGCTCGAGCTTCTCAAGTGTCTCCTCGAACGTCTTACCACCCAAACAAACATCATCAAAGTAGGAATGACACGTGCCCTTGGGAAGATCGCGCAAAACAATATCGAGCATGCGGGCGCAGCTAGCCGCGGCACCATTGAGTCCCATCGGGAGCCGAAGGTGCTGCCAAGCGCCGAACGGGGTGACGATAGTCGTTTTAGGACGATCCTCTTCTCTTACACCGATTTGAAAGTAACACATGCGAAGATCAAGCACACAGAACATTGAATTTCCACCCAGGGAATCTAGAATCGTGTCTATTCTGGGGACAGGATAAGCAGGCATCTTAGTCACAGCGTTAACCTTTCGGAGGTCAGCACAGATCCGGACTCGTCCATCTTTCTTTGCGACAAAGCATGCAGGACTACTCCAATATCCATTCGACTCTTCCAGAACCCCTAGATCCACCAAGCGTTGTATCTCGGCCCTTACCTTATCCTCCAGGAATGGTGGGACGCGATGGGGTGCTGAACGTATCGGCGGACTGTCACCTGTGTCGATGTGATGCTCCACCGCGGATGTGAAGCCCAACCGACCATCAAACATGTCACTATATTTGGTCAGCAGCTCGGTCACCTTCTCCTTCTGCTCCTTACTGAGGTCTGTGTCTGACAGGTCTATCTTTTCACGCCAATTGGGATCTGCGTCACCTGAAGGGACTGGAAACTCAGCCACGCCAACTTCCAGTCTACCGATCTCCGCACGCTTGGGGATCGTGACCGGCTCAGTTGTAATGTTTCTCACAATACACGGAACACTCTGACCGTTTACCTGCACCATGGAAGGAACCAACTCGAGTCCCGGGACTTCAAGCAATGGCTCGCACAGTGCTGGCCCTCTGAAGTCGACGTTTGGAACAAAACCTGGAAAGAAAACCTCGTGTCCGGCCGGAACCGCGATGTCTCTCTGACAAATCACCTTACCCACCGAGAAGACTGAAGCGGAGATGGTTCTGACCATTTTCGCAGAGCTGAGGATCAGCTGACTCTTGGTGAGATCCAGAACACACGGGCACACGCCAAAGAACTCCAATCCCAACAAAACAGTGCAGTCAATCTGATCCGAAACATAGAATGGAACCACCACTACTTCTCCAGCAACTTTAACGGCAATCTGTGTACGACCGATCAGTGGTAGGGGGTCCCTGCTAACCGTGTGTGCCACTGTGGCCGTAGTGAAAAGGGGAGGGGCCTTGGGGAGCACATCAAAAACGGATTTGTGAATGATATTAATGCTGCTGCCGGTGTCCAGCGTCACTGAACACGTCACACCTCCCACATCAGCGTCAAATGTCATGTCAGCATTCAAGTGGACTGTCCTCTCACCTGCTCGGGCTGCAACGACTGGGCCATCCGGGGCGGCTGCAACGGCTGCGGCCGCTGGTCCTGTGGTCTGGCATCCCACTGATGTGGACCTGGTCCCCGCTGGAACCCTGAGACTGGGGTCCGCTGCTGCTCGGGTCTGGGGTCGGGGCCGGGCCCAGCCCGCTGGGGGTTTACCTGCTGCGTGCACATCCGGGCCAAGTGTCCTTTGGTCCCACACACATGACACGGCAGGTGCCTTTGCCGACACCGCGCCTGGTTGTGACCGGGCCTCCCACAACAGAAGCAAGTACGGCCGCTGCTGGACACTGGGGGAGAACGAGCGCTTACCTGCGGACGCTCCAGTCGCGAGAGTTTCAACTCCAGCTCCTGAACTTTCCGACGAAGTAGGTCTGTCTCGTCTGTAGCCGCTACTTGCCGAACCGTCTGGCTCGCTGCCACCTTCGCGGCGCATGAGAGGTTTCTCACCTTTGCCACCGCACTGTCGAACGTCTGGATGCCCTCGCCTATTAGCGCTTGTTGATATGTCGGTGGCAGTGATTGGAGGAAGTAATTGTACAGCAAGGGGTCATGATCGGTATGTCGGGTGTCGGGAAATGCGCGACTGACTAGCCCTCGAAGCTTCACCACAAAAGCATCAAGGCTGTCATCTGTTGTGAGTCTCAAAGACCGGAGCTGGACCTGTGCCTCGACTTTGTCGCCGGAGGGGAAAGCCAGTTCCAATCTCTTGCACGCGTCGCCTACCTTCTTCTTGCACTCGGTCGGGAAGGCATCATAGGCGTCCCTCGCAATTCCGGACAAGCACAGAGGCAGCAGAGCTACTTTTTTATCGTCATCCCATCCTTGTAGGACTGCAAACGTGTCAAAGTCCGCGATGAAACGAGAGACACTGCCCTTACCGGCGAAAGACGGCAGACCGACCGATAGTGACTGCGTCGCCATGCTGAATGTCAAATTTGGCACACTTCCAACGGAAAAAAAAATCGGTGATGTAAGGGGAACCGCAGAGTCGTTAATACGGAAAGTAATTCAACAAGTTACGCTAAAATTAAATGCTCAAATTACTGCGAGAAAGGCGATGGAAAGGACGTTTTACAATGGAAAAAGAAATCGTAGAGCCAGTGTTACCTCGTTACAGTGAGACCGCAACACTTTACCAGCAACCAACATCACACCTTCCCAAACCAAGCACATACATGACACTCAGTATCAATGAAACACCCTTGTCACCACTCATATCCCCAACCACCAAATGTTTATGTCCACGTCAGCCCAGTTTGGCACACCTCAGCTTCAAATGTCCACGTGCGTCTTCATAAGGGGGGGGGGGGAGGGTAGTGCGCGCATTGTCACCGGAGAATACCACGCACGGCGTCCTCGGCAGGGGGGGGGGAAACACCTGAGTCTCCGGGGGGTCAGAAGGTGCTCGTGTCCGCAACAGGGGGGAGTGCACTCGTCCCAGTCTCCATCGGGAGTGGCCGGTAGTCCTCGGACCGCGAGGCAGGATTACCCGCTCCAACAATGGTCAAAGGGCGATCGCTTAGATCGGGTGACACAAACGTTCAGGCACATCCCGCTATCGGATTCAGGCACATCCCGCTATCGGATAAGTCCGAACTGGATAGGTCTCACCGGCGTGTAGACGTTGAGCAGTCAGCTGTCGCGCTCGGAGAATCTTATACTGACGCCAGATGTAGGCCGTCGCGCTCGGAGAATCCTACTGACGCCAGATGCAGGCCGTCAAGCTTAGGCCGTCGAGCTCAGAGCATCCCACCGCTGCCACCAGATGTAAGCGTCTAGCCCCGGCCGCTGGCGTCAGAGGCACACGCCGAACTCGGAGCCAACCAAGCGTGTATTCAGCAGACAAACAAACAAACTGAAACGCCCTAGAAAGAAAAGACAAACAACTGTCACAATCCCGACACATACAAAGCCGGCACGAAATATCAAAACCCGTTATTAGAGAATGTGAAATAAAATAAACAGTAATTATCACGAAAGTTGAAACCCACCGTTCAAGCAGGCGCAATCCAAGCACATCTCGATCCTCGCCATGTCGCGGCGCACCGAATTCCCGCTCTGGACGCGACGGGGGCTCAACGGAAATTCGGCTGCTCTCTCATTGGTCAGAATAAACGGTTACCTGATTGGCTCTCGCGTGGCGCGCAGCTACATCATTGGACGAAATCATTACAGGAAGTCTAAAACTCTTCGGATAAGAAATATGACACATAACTAAAGAAACATTGGTACCGATCAATATCAAATAATAAAATAGTCATTACAAATCAGTATCATAACTAAATAGCACTAAACACGCGACAACAAACCAAGGACATTATTGCAGCACAGGACGAATTTAGAGTTGCCACTTTCACTTCTGGTAGGCCCAGTATCCGCTCGCATAACATGTAAGCGGAAATCCGCTTACATATATTGTAAACCTGTCCTGTTAATCAAAACATTTTTGTGCCTTCCAAGGTGTGTTCTGTGGTGTGTTCGGAGTTATGCTATATGGCCGTTTTTGTTGTACCGTAAAACGGGGTGTTAAGGGACAGTTTTGAGGTGTTTTGTTATGTAACTCAAGAAGGGTTGGAGATAGAAGCATCAAATTGTCAGCATTTTATGTGGAATTTGGTGCTTTACATGCCTGCCACATTAAAGTTTTTAAGATTTATACCTGCATATTATTTTTTATTATTTTTCATCACTGTCCCTTAGCACCCCAATGTGGGGTGTTAAGGGACACCTATATTATTCCAAGAAATGGTCATCAAATGCCCACAATTGGGGTGTGGAAGGGCACACAATTTATTTATTGACATGTTTTGCATATTCTGTCACAAAACAAGTCAGGTTCATTCACCACTAATGACCTTTTTAGCCAATTACGTGTAATGCAGTTTACGCTTGTGGAAAATGTGCTAATTATAAGGTAAACAGAACCAAAAAGTAATCTTCTGTCATCAATAAAAACCCATGTTGAAGCTAGTCACTTGTCATTATGTTGCCCTCTTTGTTTTAGCCTTTTTATTGCAAATTGGGCAAATAGACTTCGTCGCGCGCTTTCGTTGAGGACGGTCGTGTTTATCGAGCTCCTAAATCAGCACCACTCAGCACACACTCCACTACTACCGGCAATATTATTGTTATAGTTTGATTCTGAAGAATTATTAACGAAAAGCTAGTTCATAAGAATTATAAGCTCCAAAAAGAAGAACAATTTGATACACAAAGGAAATGACTCTGCAGCATTCACCGCCACCGAAACGCAAAAACAAAAAGCAACCACTAGGTTCGGTAGCGTCTGCGACTCATGCTACGACTGATTCGCCTGATTCAAACGGGGTCTCGGTGGCCTCAGCGGCATCACAATCGTCTGCAGGTGAAAAGGCTGGTGGATCTGCGGATTTTCAAGCTACTCAATTGGTGGGTGAGATTGATTCTGCAGGTGAAAGTGCTACTGGAGGTCAAGCAGGAAGTCAAATTGCTGCTGAAACAGCAAGGGTGAGTCAGAGTTCTGGTGGGAAGAAAGGAAGGGACATAAAACGCTTAGACAGTGACGTTTACAAGCTATGGGGAACTCGTTCCAGATCAAACAGCGAGACCTGTAGTGATAGGGAGGATGGAGGTACTATCTGTAAGGGTGGACCTGGGCAAATGACATGTGGAAAGGAAGTCAAGGATGGGGAGCCAGGCGTGCAGTGCGAGGCCTGCATGCGGTGGTTCCATGCTGATTGCCAATCAATTCCAAAAGCGGCGATTTCCGCTCTGCAGAAGTTCAAAATTTTGACATGGCTCTGTGCGGCATGTAAACTGTCCATTGTGAATGCAAGGGATTCCAACGGGGCAAGTCTGCGTCAGTTCATGCAGCTCGAGTCAAAGGTTGACCGCCTTGAGGACACTGTCAAAACAACTCTACAGGAGATCCACGACACATTGTCAAAACAAGCTGAAGCAGCTAGCACGCAGTCAAAGCAGGTCGAACAAGCTATTCAGGCAGTGGAGCTTCAGAAAAATACCTATGCTCAGGCAGTGAAAGGTACCTGTAATGATATGGTGAAGCAGGTCACAGCCAGGCTAGATGCTATCCCTAAACCTGCCCAGCAGAAACAAAGCATCAACACAGCAGAGGAAATATCAGGAGTGTTTGACAACTTCCTTGATCGGGAGAAGAGGAAGTTAAACTTAGTCGTGCACAATCTGGAAGAGAGTAGTGGGGACAGCAATGCAGAAATCCTTCAGCAGGACACATGCAAGTTTGTAGACCTGGTTAAGAAAGGCTTGAGGATAAATGTCAGAGTTACAAAAGCTTTCAGAGTGGGTAAGAAACTGCCCACTAAACCCAGACTGCTGATTGTGAGCATGGAAAACATGGAGGTCAAAACAGACATACTCAAGATGGCACACTGCTTACGACAATCAACAGACTACAGCAACATCTACATAACCCCAGACCTGACATGGAAGGAGAGGGAAGAAGGAAAACGGCTGAGGGCTGAGCTGACAAGGCGGAGGGACGCCGGTGAGACAAATCTTGTGATAAGAAGGGGCAAGATCACCCAGCTCTCCATGAAGATGTTGGACACTGGTTCTGGCCACCAGGATGCTGAAAACTCTGGAGTTGCTCAAGAAGCTGGCGGCTCGGTATCTGCTGGCAGGGAAAGCAGGGAGACCAGTCCCCATGGAGTCTTAGAGAGAGTGAAGGGGGTGACTCAGCAGAGTGACTCAGGTACAGCTGTTGGAGGAATCACAGGTGAGACCAGTTCTGCTCACGGTGTGGCTGGCCAGAAGGTCACTGCAGAACCACCCCAGGCTTGACTACAGGGAAGGTCAGTGAAAATGAGGCTGAATGAGAAGCTCAAAGTAATATATACAAATGCAGATCAGCTCACTAATAAAAGAGATGAACTGTGCATGTTTATAGCTGACAGAAAACCGGATGTAATTCTTGTGACTGAGGTTATTGCTAAAGCACAAGTCAACCCAATTGCGCCTGCCCTACTCGCTATCCAAGACTATACTCTCTACACAAATTTTGATCTCTCAGAAATGAACCTGGGCAGAAGCGGAGTAAGAGGTGTAGCTATTTACACTCACCACAGTTTACATGTGGCAGAAGTGATTGTTGGCATGCAAAACTACAGAGAACAGCTATGGTTAGAGATGCCCCTGGCTGGACCCGATCGTCTCCTAATAGGATGCCTCTACCGTAGTCCGACCAGTGATGGAGTGGGCTCTGTGGAGGTGTTGGCAGACATATTTAGTCAAGCAGTGTCAGCTGGGTACTCGCATGTTGTAATTGCTGGAGATTTTAATTTGCCAAGCGTGGACTGGAGCCTGGGTCTTTCATCAGCGCCTGCCACCCATTACTCACACACGTTTGTCAATGCCGCCCAGGATTGCCTTCTCCACCAGCACATTACACAACCTACCCGTTTCAGGGTAGGAGAGGAACCTCACACACTAGACCTTATTTTTTCAAACGAGGAAGGTATGGTGCAGAACATTGACTTCCACCCAGGGCTTGGTAAGAGTGATCATGTGATAATATCATTTGACTTGGAGTGTTACACCCAGCGGTCAGAGCCATCAGGTAATACCCTGAATTTCCACAAGGCCAACTTTGACCGAATGAATCTGCTTATGAGTTCAGCAGACTGGGAAGATCACATGCCCAAGACAGTGCAAGCAAGGTACAATCACTGGAAGAAGATCATAGAGGAAGCAACTGACAAGTGTGTGCCACCTGCCCTGCCCAAAGCAGCAAAGAAGAACATCTACATCAACCGTGAGGCCCTGAAGCTGAAAAAGAGGAAGAGAACACTCTGGTTCAAATATGTGCAATCGAAAGACCCCATTGACCATGCCCGCTTTGTCCGATGCCGCAACGACCTCCGTCGGCTGACCAGAAATCTCCGTAGCAACTTTGAGAAGAGGCTT